AAGATAAGGTGACCATAGGTTCGTGGATTTATCTCTGGGCTTTCTATTCTGTTCCATTGATCTATATTTCTGTCTTTGTGCCAGTACCATACTGTCTTGATGACTGAGGCTTTGTAGCATAGTCTGAAGTCAGGCAGGTTGATTCCTCCAGTTCCATTCTTCTTTCTCAAGATTGCTTTGGCTATTCGAGGTTTTTTGTATTTCCATACAACATTTCTTAATTCTTAAATCTACTTTGTATGTTATAGTCATTTCGGCTTTCTTTTCATTGGTGTTTGTATGTACGGTGTATCTTTTTCTTTCTTTTCTTCTTATTTTTTCTTTTAACCTGTGTCTTTATATGTAAAATGAGTTTACTTTAGACAGAGTATAGTTGGGTCTTCCTTTTTATTCAGTTGTAGCAATCTCTGTCTTTTAATAAATGGGTATTTATGTTTTATATAATTACTGACTTGGCTGGGTTCCATCTTCCTGTTTGCTTTCTGCTTATCCAATCGGTTTTTTGTTCTTTTTTTCTTCCTTTTTTTGGATTAATAAAGTACTTTTATGATTCTACTTTATTTTCACTATTGGCTTATTAGCTGTACGTCTCTTATTTCTTAATTGTTCTTCTAGGCTTTATTATATATTGTTGCACTTATCACAATCTGTAATATTATGCCACTCCACATATAGTGTAAGAACAGGATATTATTACACTTCCATTTCTACTCCTATGCTTTGTGTTAATGTTATTTTATCATATATTTTGCTTTTACATATGTCATAAACTCTGCAGCAGGTCATTATTATTGCTTTAAATAGTCAATTTTAAAGAAATTTTTGGAAGTGAGAAAGAAATTTTCTATTTACTCTTTGGTTTCTTTTTAAAATGAAAGAGAATTTATTATACTTACCTGCAAGTTTGTGTGAAATTATTCATCACATGATGTAGAATAGTCATAGAAATCTTATTTATTTTAATAGGATCGCTGTTTCAAGAGCTGCAGTGGTCATTCATATATAAGAAAGAATTGGCTTGGATCCATTGTCTTCCCTTTCTCTGCTCTCCTACAACAATCTGAGGTAACAGAAAATGATTCTTTGCTAATTCTAAATTTTTGTCTCTGGCTAATAGAAACACTTACTGTTGTTTTTGAGTCAGATCTTGATTGGCAGGTTAAGTCAGTTGAAATGATCCTGTATGCAAGTGCCTCTTAGGTGTTGGAGTATTTGAAGATTTTAGCCGTCTCGAGGAGATACCCACAAATTTATTTCATGTATTTTTAGTGTTCATTGATGAAGAAAAGGACAGCTAACCATAGGTCTTAAAGCAACATTCATATGTGCTTATAATAGTTACATAATTAAAGATTGATACATTTTCTGAATAATGACATTGCTTCCTAACCATGGGTTCCATGATTCTGTGCAATCACAGCATGTCATGAGGGAGCACGTTTCAAATACAAGTGCTGCAAATAAAGAGCAATGGAGATTTTAAATTGTTGGAGGTATAGGGCTTCCTGTTATAAATTCCTGCAGTTACTTCTCAGTCTCAGGCCAGATGCTAGGATAGAGAAGTAGTTAAGAAGGTGAGCTTCAAAGGCAGACTCATCTGCATTGTAATCCTGGCTCGACTACTCATGGGTTGTGTGACCTGTCACAAATTCCTCACATGCTCTGAGCTCATTTCCTTATCTATAAAATGGAGATTAGTGGTGTCTACCTCATTGAATAATGTAATCTATGTCAAGCACTTGGAAGAATGCCTTATACATAGTAGGTGCTCAATAACTATTAATATTAGTTATGTTATTATTAGTAGTAGTTATTATTTTAAGTTATCTCCTCACACACACACACACGGTCCCTCCTCCAGTGGACTTTGGGTCATCTCTCCTTCTGTTCCATTTTTTTTTCTCTTTCCAGGACCAGTGCAAAATGTAACATGGTCTTTTAGCATTTTTCTCTGAGCTTAAATTCGATTCTCTAAGAGTTTCTATCACTCTGGTACATTAACTTGCTTCCTCATTTCATCCCTTTCTTACTTCTGCCTTTTCCACATACTACGTATTAGAGAGGGACCCAGGGTGTCAGGGTTGCTTGTGAGCAGATCATCATGAAAAACTTTATCATTCTTTGCAAGTCCCCATGAGTCAAATCAGCATGAACCCATGCAAGCCTATTTCCTGCAATGGAGAAGACTGAACTGAGCTATCTTTGACTGATGTTTATTTTCATCATGCAGAATCCATTCTGTTCATATACTCTTTCAGATTAGTGGAACATTTCAAGTAAATATTCCACCTGTTTTGCTTGGGTATACTTGGAGTAAGACTTACGTGTCTCCTAAAGAAGATTATAATGGACAGAATTTAAAAGAATGTACCTTCTTAAATATTTTTGCTACTATTGAACCTCAAATATCATATACCATCTGTAGTCCAGAACTAGACAAGGTAGGCTTTCCACTGAATTATTTTCAGATATACTATCAAAGGAGTGTTAATTTCAAAGTTGACAAAAATGAATGTTGGTTCTTGATATTTTCCTGTGGGAACAATATGGTAGCAAGTTGAAATATTTTAAACTTGATTCTAGTTTTCAGATCAAATAGATGTTTTGGAGAGAGCATGGATTTTTACAAAAAATTGTAAGGCATTATTTCCTAAACGAAGAATCATCACTACTGTTTTTAATGATGAAGGGATACAGATCTTAGTAATAAGATACATCAAGGCATTGAATCCACCTCAGCAACTCCTGGATATGTTTCTTCATTATTCTAATGCAACACTTGTAAGTGATATTTATGTTAGTAACTTTATTGAGATATTCACATACCATATAATTTGCCCTTCTAAAGTATATAATTCAGTGGTTTTTAATATATACACCAAGTTGTGCAGCCATCACCACAGTAAATTTTAGAACATTTTGATCACTCTCAATTTATATTTAACTGGTTTACTTTTTAACAATAACTTTGAGTAAAACTTTCTTATTAAAATTGCTTTATCTTCAGAGACAGTTTCCTGAGAGAGATGCCATCTGTGTTGCAATGTGTGCTCCTGAGTGTATGGTGGAAGAAAACCTTTCCTCCTGTTGCCCTTCCCTCTGCCCACTTATACTGAAGGTCACTGTTGCCACATCACTTTCATGTGACCATACCAACTTTGTAATCTTTCTGTCAGACTCTGAAAAGTGACACAGAAAGATTCCTTTGATTTTCAGGCAGAATTTAAAGTTGTATTTCTAAAGAGATGGTGTCCTTCTAAGGATTGCTTCTTGTTGTAAAGAGGCTTTTGCTCTCTTTATCTTTTATCTATGTTATCTTTTGCTCTATAAACTGCCAACATAACACTTCTCACCTTATGTGGCTTTATGCATATCTGTTATTTACCAGCTGACAAAAGAGACATGTACAGGCATTCATTATGAACTCAGAAGAGGAGATAGCTTCTTCCACTTTGAGAAAGGAAAATGTGAAATCAGAAATCTAGTCTCCCCTTTAAGTAAAAAAAAAAGCTTTGATTAAAGGACACCTGTGAAAAATCACTTATACCTTTTATTTATTCAGGCCTGATTGACTCAACTGACTCTCCTCAGAATACTTATATTATTCTTCCAGTATGAAGCGCTAACCTGAATTCTTTAAGCTAAAACCAAAAGTCCTAATTTAGATCACATTTTACTACACTCTGCTTTTGGGTTTCTTCTTGCCTGTTTCCTGATACCAAAAGTCCAAGGAGATAATAATGTTCCCAGATTTCTTTTAAAGACAGTCTTTTTCTTTTTAAAAAAGAAGTCTAAATCCTAGCTCTTTTGCTTATCAGGAATTGTGAGCCATGTTTAGTTAACTGCATGAAGTCAGAAACGTGATTAGTGTGGGAGGTCATAGTAGTGCATATATGGCAGCTACTGTAAATCAGTGAAAATGTTGGTGAACTTTCTGTGTTAACTCTAATCTGAGTCCTTATCTCCTGTCCTATAGGGGTAGCAATCCACAACAGAAGTTCTGTAGTTTATAAAAATAGGCTGCACCAATATCTTCTTGCTGCAGCAACTTATAACTGGATTTTATTAATAAAAATAATTCTGATGGATTTTGAACCTAAAAGAAAATCAAACTTTTGCTACTCTTCTACACATTTTTTCAATTTTCTTAAACAGTTGTATTTTAAAGTATACATGTAATGTATCACATTTAAATTTTTAATTTATTACAGTAAAATGTAATGATTAATACCCACGGTCTGGAGTCATGCTAACGAGCTTATTCCCAGAGACCCATATGTTGTGTTAGTGTGTAACCCATATATTGTTAGTGTGTTAGTATGTGTGTTAGAATGGGCAGGTTATCTTAGCACTCTAAGCTTGTTTCTTCTTTTGTAAAATAAAATTAATAATAGTATGTATTTCAAAGGCTTGTAGGATATACTAAATTTGGTGATAATGCATGTAAAGCACTGTGCTTGGTGATGGGCATATAGTATGCTCTTAATAAATCTTAGTTAATATTATTTTAGGACCTTGTTGCTCACTTTGTATCTTTGATTCCTGTTATGCCCGATGCACTGGATGAAAATGATGGTTTTAATATATGGATGACATCAGAGGTAACCAATTACAATTTACAATTTAAATGATTCATGTTTGCTTTTCTTGTAAAGAAACATTTCAGAAATATTATGCACTTATGTAGTAGCTTTCCTTATGCAATTTGAAGACATTTGATAATTTAATACACTGTTTTCATTCAGCTCTATAACAACCCATAGAAATAATTCTTAAAGACCAAAAATCTTGTTCAACTCTTTAAGTAGCTCATAATATTCAGATTCAGCAGGAATTCCAGGAGTACAATATTATGACATTCTCCAGAGAGAAATATGAAATATGCCTTGTTCACTATAGAGGTGGTTAGACCCTGAAGTCTAGGGGAAATACCACCACTTCCCAGAAGCCTTCCCCAGCTTTCCCATATCTGAATGAAGGGCTTCCTTGGCACTTGGATTAAAATTGTCTTTAGACTGGTTGCCATGTAATATTTAGGATATATTTGAACTAAAAACTATTTATTTGAAATTTAAATTGCTTTAGGCATCCCATCCCTCCCCCCAAAAATCTGGCAATCCTAATTAGAACACTTTTTCCATTTCACCTTAAATTATATTTAGTTGATTATACACTGGCCCTATACCCATACACTATACATATACATCCCAAGTTTAATCTCCTTGAATGAAAAGGCAAATTTGCACTTATCTAGAATGTTTAGTCAAGGCTATGGTTTTTCCAGTAGTCATGTATGGATGTGAGAGTTGGATGGTGAAGAAAACTGAGGACAGAAGAATTGATGCTTTTGAACTGTGGTGTTGGAAAAGACTCTTGAGAGTCCTTTGGACTGCAAGGAGATCCAACCAGTCCATCTTAAAGGAGATCAGTCCTGGGTGTTCATTGGAGGGACTGATGTTGAAGCTGAAACTCCAATACTTAGGCCACCTCATGCGAAGAGTTGACTCATTGGAAAAGACCCTGATGCTGGGAGGGATTGGGGGCGGGAGGAGAAGGGGATGACAGAGGATGAGATGGCTGGATGGCATCACCAACTCGATGGACACGAGTTTGAGTAAACTCCGGGAGTTGGTGATAGACAGGGAGGCCTGGCGTGCTGAGATTCACGGGGTCACCAAGAGTCAGACACGACTGAGCAACTGAACTGAACTGAACTGAGAGTGTTGAGAGGCTGGATTTGAGCTGAAGTGGATTTAGAGAGCACAGGACTAATTTATTAGGTCAGTTACCTGCCTTCTGCTAAATGAAAGAGAGGAACACCAGCCGTGGTTTGGACCCAGTGACTCAAATCCATTACAACTTAGAGGTGTCTGTTAACTCTAGACTCTTGTGAGACTCTTCAGACTAATCAGAATGTGTTATAATCCTGCAGAACATGAAAAGATAGCCTCTAAAGTAGCTAAAAATAACTAAAAATAACCATTCTGGTAAATACCAGTGCTTCCAAGTGCCCCCCAAGCCAAACAGTACTCATAATCAACAGGTCCCCACCGGCATAGGCTTCCTCTTGGCTGGTGTCTTCCCATTTGCCATGAACTCTGGACTGGGGATGTCCCTGAGTAAATGACTGATTAAATCGTCGCAGGAGTTAATTTTCTCTACCCAACATACAGCCTTTGAACAAACCTTGGTTCAAATCCTACTTCAACCACCTGGTAGCTGTGTGGCTTAAGTTGTTCAGCTCCATGGGACCTCACTTTCCTCATCTGTGTCATCCAGGGATTTTGAAAGGATAGGCAGCTGGAACACAGTATGTTAGTTACGTTGTTGTTGTTCAGTCGCTAAGTCGTGTCCGACTCTTTGCAATCCCCTGGACTGCGGCAGCCAGGTGTCTCTGTCCTTCGCTATCTCCTGAGTTTGCTCAGATTCATGTCTTTTGAGCTGTGATGCTATCATGCTGTCTAACTACCTCATCCTCTGCCGCTGTCTTCTCTTTTTGCCTTCTGTCTTTCCCAGCGTCAGAGTCTTTTCCAATGTTAGTTACGTACTCTCATTCATTCTCTCCTTCTCTTATGAGATGCTGTCAGGGGAACCTCCTTGGTCTGATATTGAAGACTACTTATGTTCTGCTCTTCATTCTCCTGTTCATCACATGTATCTTTCAGAAGAGCCGTGTTACCATTCGTCCTAACCTCTATCCCTCACCATCACATCCAGCCAGTGTGTACTGATGTGGCCACATCTGTTGTTAAACCATTGAAACACTTCCGGACTGACTGGTAAATAGTCACTCTGAGAGGTCCTGAGCTCCCCCTCCCCAGGCTCCCTGGCCACCACAGCCCTTTCTCTGGGACTAATGACGTGGAAGCATGTGTCCAGCCTAAATGGTGCAGCCGAGTCTGCATGGTAGAGCTGCTACTCAGCAGCAACACATTATTGCCATATGAACATTTGGGCCCATATATTTTGTTAGATCCTTTGATTCTTCAAGAGAATCCAGAAATCCAGAGTTGTATGTGTGATCTTCCAATTTTTAAAAGCATTTTGGGGCCAAGCAAAATATACCTATAGACTGGGGCTAAATCATAAGCCACTGGTCTGCCACCTCTGCTGTGCTTTTTCTGTCCTGCTACAACTGCCTTACTAGGCACTCTGCCTTTGGTTACACCCACCCCTGCTGTTCAGGTCTTTCAGTTAAGGAAGTTTCCATCACTTTTCTTGATTGGGCTCCAACTCAGATCTCTTCTTCTAAGTTGAGAGCACTACAATGGTACAGGGCAGAGAGTGACTCCATTGACCAAAGGATCCTTTCCTCCAAAAACAGGTGTGATTTCCTATCAGATGAAGTTCCTTAAAATATTAGCCAATTTTGTTATTCAGTCACTGAGTCATGTTCAACTCTTTGTGACCAAAGAGTTGCCACACGCCAGACTGCAGCACACCAGGCTTCCCTGTCCATCACCATCTCCTGGAGTTTGCTTAAACTCGTGTCCATTGAGTCAGTGATGCCATCCAACCATCTCATCCTCTTTTGTCCCCTTCTCCTCCTGACTTCAATCTTTCCCAGCATCAGGGTCTTTTCAGATGAGTCAGCTCTTCACATCAGGTGGCCAAAGTATTGGAGTTTAAGCTTCAGAATCAGTCCTTCCAATGAATATTCAGGGTTGATTTCCTTTAGGATGGACTGGTTTGATCTCCTTGCTGTCCACGGGACTCTCAAGAGTCTTCTCCAACACCACAGTTCAAAAGCATTTATTCTTTGGTGCTCAGCCCTGTTTTCCCAGGATATTTGTCCCCCCAAAAAATCTGCCTAATTTTGGATGATCACCCAGTATCCTTATGTTCCAGGCTAGTGTTCTCTCTTTCTAATGCCCTAATGTTTTAGGCTTTGCAGTCATCTTAGTGACCTGGCAGAAATGTGTGTGTAAGGGTGTGGAGGGGCCCTGAATCTGTTGGATGCTTGCACTACTCAACTCTCTCTCCTCCCCTCCCTTCCTTTTTTTTTTGTCCTTGTTGCTTTTGTTTCACCTTAGCACTGCATCAGTTTGGCTATTGGAAATAAGGAGGAGCATGCCATACTTCTGTGTAATTTCTTCCTGTATTTTGGAAAGAAAGCTTTGGTCCTTCTAGGAACCTCGGTGTTGGAAGTAAGTGTTGGACTTAATATTTAAATAGTGTAAACAAAACTTTCAGTTGCAAGTTTTAAAGACTTCAACTCCAGGTTTCCATTTTTTCACAAATAAATTAGGAAATTTCATAGGCAAACAAATATTTACTTAGGGGAATAATGTGCTTCATCAACATTTCCACAATGTAAAGAATGACTTCCTTTTGTTTTTCTTCTTTGGAAAGTAGTACAGATAATAGTGCTACTTCATGGCAGCAAATTTGGAAAACTCAGCAATGACCACAGGACTGGAAAAGGTCCGTTTTCATTCCAATCCCAAAGAGGGACAATGCCAAAGAATGTTCAAACCAATGTAAAATTGTGCTCATTTCACATGATAGCAAGGTTATGCTCAAAAGCCTTCAAGGTAGGCTTCAGCATTATGTGAACTGAGAACTTCCAAATGTAAAAGCTAGGTTTCAGAGAGGCAGAGGAACCAGAGATCAAATTGCCAACATTTGTTGGATCATGGAGAAAGCAAGGGAGTTCCAGGAAAATATCTACTTTGCTTCATTGGCTATGCTAAAGCCTTTGCCTGTGTGGATCACAATAAAATGTGGAAAATTCTTAAAGAGATGGGAATACCAGACCACCGTACCTGTTTCCTGAGAAACCTGTATGCGGGTCAAGAACCAGCATTAGAACGGGACATAGAACAACTGACTGGTACAAAACTGGGAAAGAAATATAACATGGCCGTATGTTATCCCCCTGCTTATTTAACTTCTGTGCATGAGTACATCATGTAACAGGCCGGACTGGATGAATCACAGGCTGGATTCAAGATTACTGGGAGAAATATCAACAACCTCAGATATGCAGATGATGCCACTCTAATGGCAGAAAGTGAAGAGGAACTAAAGAGCCTCTTAATGAGGGTGAAAGAGAAGAGTGAAAAAGCTGACCTGAAAGTCAGTGTTAAAAAACTAAGATCATGGCATCCAGACCCATTACTTCATGGCAAATAGATGGGAAAAAAGTGGAAGCAGTGACAGATTTTCTTCCCTGGGCTCCAAAATCATTGTGGACAGTGACTACAGCCATGAAATTAAAAGATGCTTGCTTTTTGGAAGGAAAGCTACGACAGACCTAGACAGTGTTTTAAAAAGCAGAGATATCGCTTTGCCAACAAAGGTCTGTATAGTCAAAGCTATGGTTTTTCCAGTCGTCACGTACAGATGTGAGAGTTGGACCATAAAGAATACTGAGCGCTGAAGAACTCTTGCTTTTGAACTGTGGTGCTGGAGAAGAAGACTCTTCCACTCTAATGGCAGAAAGTGAAGAGGAACTAAAGAGCCTCTTAATGAGGGTGAAAGAGAAGAGTGAAAAAGCTGACCTGAAACTCAATGTTAAAAAACTAAGATGATGGCATCCAGACCCATTACTTCATGGCAAATAGATGGGAAAAAAGTGGAAGCAGTGACAGATTTTCTTCCTTGGGCTCCAAAATCATTGTGGACAGTGACTGCAGCCATGAAATTAAAAGATGCTTGCTCTTTGGAAGGAAAGCTACGACAGACCTAGACAGTGTTTTAAAAAGCAGAGATATCGCTTTGACAACAAAGGTCTGTATAGTCAAAGCTATGGTTTTTCTAGTCGTCACGTACAGATGTGAGAGTTGGACCATAAAGAATACTGAGCGCTGAAGAACTCTTGCTTTTGAACTGTGGTGCTGGAGAAGAAGACTCTTGAGAGTCCCTTGGACTACAAGGAGATCAAACTGGTCAATCCTAAAAGAAATCAACCCTGAATATTAACTGGAAGGAGTGATGCGGAAGCTGAAGTTCCCATACTTTGGCAACCTGATGTGAAGAGCTGACTCATAGAAAAGACCCTGATGCTGGGAAGGATTGAGGGCAAAAGGAGAAGAGGGTGGCAGAGAATGAGATGGTTAGATAGCGTCACTGATACAATGGACATGAGTTTGAGCAAACTCTGGAAAATGGTGGAGGACGGAGGAACCTGGCATGCTGTATGTAGTTCATGGGGTCACAGAGAGTTGGACATGACTTAGCGACTGAACATCATGGGGTTACTAGAAATACTCAGTTATGTAGTAAATATATGACACTGAGAGCAGCACCTGGTTTATGGAAAATGCTCAATAAGTGATGGTGGTAGGTGATATAGCAATAGTTATCGTAGTAATAGTTACGTAGTGGTTGTTAACCATCGTCACCATCATCATCTTTATATGTTCCTAGAATTATATTTAAGATAATTAAGATGTACCTCTCCCTATTTTTCATTGCTCAAATTTTAATTGTGCAAGAAATGGGCCAGAAGTTCACTAATTTGTACAACTTAATTATATACTCCTGTATTCAAACCTCCAGAAAGCTGCCTTATTAGGACTCTTTATTTCTATTCAATAATATGAACATATTGATAAGCATTTAAAACTTCAAGGTTTTTTTTTGTCATGATCATTTATTTCTATGTATTTCCTTTGCAAAGCTTATTATTTCTGTGTCCTGTTTGTTAGCTGAAAAGCTATGGCTACTTTCCCCATGTGATCTCGCGGCTGTAGCTTTGAGCACCACTAGATGGCAGTAAACAGTGAACAATATTTTAACAAACATTTGTATTTGTACCTGTGAGTCAACACTGGGTGGCAGCACTTAGCTATACGTTTCACCTTGTCTGTGTGCTTGAGGTGACACCTCTTTACCTGGGAAATGCCATGGACAGAGGAACCTGGTGGGCTACAGTCCATGGGGTCACAAAGAGTCAGACACGACTGAGCAACTTTCACTTCACTAATAATGTTTACTAATTGTATGATCTCAGCCTTATTTATTTCTCTGACCCTCAAAGTGAAAGTGAAAGTCTCTCATTTGAGTCCAACTCTTTGCAACCCCATGGACTGCACATTCCTTGGAATTCTCCAGGCCAGAATACTGGAGTGGGTAGCCTTTCCCTACTCCAGGGGATCTTCCCAACCCAGAGATTGAACCCAGGTCTCCCATATTGCAGGTGGATTCTTCACCAGCTGAGCCACAAGGGAAGCCCCTGCTCAAGGGAATAATGCTATTTCCTGTTACCCTAGATAAGTTGTTATTCTCTTATTCTTCATGTGAAAGGTGGGCATGATAATCATCCCTACTTCATTCTTCATGTGAAAGGTGGGCATGATAATCATACCTATCTCACAGAATTTGGACTTAATTAAAGTGAGAAATTAAGTAAAACTAGCATGAGCACTGAGTACAGAACCTGGGGTACGTAAATGATAAATGTTAGACAATTATTATTATTACCTGAAATTTTTATGTCTTGCTAAATAAGAAAGGTTTACACATCACAAGTATGTGCAGAGCAAAATAGTAACACAGTGACTACTTTTATTCCTCAAATGGTTTTATGTTTAATTTCTCTCTGGCCTCTAATTCTAGATCTTGTTCTCAAAATTAATTTGATGGCCTTTTAACTTCACCTAGCTTTTCAGAGCCTTGGACTAACACCATAACTCTACATGGTGTTCACCCTTGATCTCCAAGTATATTCTGCTTAAAGCAGGGCTAATCCATATAGCACCTTTGTGTGAGTTATGCAAAAGTACCCCTACGCATTAGCACTAACTATTGGGAAATGTTCTTCATATACTGATTTCATCAGAACAACGTATTTTATTGCTATGAGGGTGACAACACTGGCTCATAAGTTCTCTCATTTGAATCCTCATGCTAGCCTGGGCCTGCAGATTTCTATTGCTTTGGTTTTTCCCTTTTCAAAAAAATTGTAAATATTCTAAAAAAGGCTTTTAAAAGATAAGAGGTAACAGGGAGTTTCCTGATGACACAGTGGTTATGATTCTGGGCTTTTGCTGCTGTGGCCTGAGTTCAATCCCTGGTCAGGGAACGGAGATCCCACAAGCCGTGCAGCATGGCCAATAAATAGATACATCATACAGAAAAAAAATCAATAAGGTGATTGATAATATTATCTGTAAAAAGTCAGAGATAGCAAATGCTTACACTACAATTTCCAATACAAAAATGAGTTAAATCAATCATCCCCCCAAAATAATTTTAACTCTTTCTTCGGACAGGGGCACGTGGCGTATGTATTAACTCAGGAAACTGATGAATATTTGCTTTGGAATCCATTAACTGGACAGTGTCATAAGCAGTTTGACCCATTTTGTCCATTACAAGGTGTAGATTGTTTGTTTGATGGTGAAAACGTAAGTGTATTGGGTGAGGGGGGAAGATCTTGAGTTCTGTCCTCAGGAGTCAAACTTGTGGCTCTCTACCCTGACTGTACATTAGAATCATGTGGAAACGCTGAGGAAACCGTAGATGTTCAGTTAGAATCCCTGGGGTGTGGGGCCAGGGAAATCTTCCGTCCCCAAAGCTCCTTGAGGTGATTCCGTAGCACCTCCAAGGCTGAGAACCAGTGAGCAGTCTAGTGTTCACATGCCCCTGGAATTCTCTGTACCTCCTGCCTCAGAGCAGTCCTTGGCTTCCGCCACTTCACGGGGCAGTAAGACTGTAACCCCCTGTGGGCTTCGTACTCCCGTGGCCCGATGTTGATTCTCTGTTAATGTTTTAATAGGTCTGGTTTAATCTGCAGCAGAATAATTCACCAATGGCTGTGTATTTTGACTATTCAAAGGAAAGTTTCTGGAAACAGTTGCTTCCAAAAAATTATCAAGGAACAAACACACAAAGCATTCAGGTAAATCACACTTTTCCAGGTGTGTCTCTATGAAAGTTACCATTGGTTCTGACCTTAGAGTTGTGACAGCTCTTGTTACATTTATATAGCTGATTGCTTATTTTTAGCAACATCAATAAAATCCAGTTTTCTCTGCCATCCAGCCTGACTTTAGGCTACTCTGATCCTTTTCCTCTACTTGCAAAAGAAGAATTGAGAAGAAGGCATCATCTTAATTGTGAATTTAGGTTTTAGAGTAAAATTTTTAAAGTATTCATCATGAAACAGAAAATATAACGTCCAGATGGTGTAATAAGTTCTTACTTTGACCTTGCACTTCTACGACACATCCATGACAATAATAAAGTATAAAAATTGAAAAACAAAAGGCTTATCTGGGCTCTGAACCATGATGGGTATCTACTGGAATAGAAATAGGACAGAAACACCATCAGGGAGCAGGGCCCAAAGAGGATGGGAGCAAAGTCTAAAAGTGAGTCATGAAATTCAGGGAACCAGAGCCAGTCTCACTTTTTGAAGCCAGGACTATGATGGAGCTTCCCTACCTTGCTCCTCTTGAGAGAAGATGAGAAAGCCAAGCTGCAGACCCATTACCTGGAGCTCAGGAGGTAAGAGACCAAAGTACAGATCAGAGCATCAGGAACCAATCTAACCACCAGACAACTTGGCCAGAGAATCTGTGGTGTGTTCAGCATCAGTTTGGGAAGACACCCAAATTCCATTTCAACATCAGTTTCTGGATTGAGAGCCATGGTATGTCAATGTGCAGGCAATTGCAAAATTCGAAAACTGGGAGCTATGACCCAGAGGAAGAAAGAGGCGGGGGGATAAGAAAAAGAACAATGGAAAAATAGGAAGAAGACAATTCATAGAAGCAGAAACTCCAGAGTTCAACCTCACTTGTACTGAGGGAAATATAATTTAAAACAAACATGATTTTTACATGTATAAGATTAGGAAACTTTTTTTTAAGTGGGATGATATCAAATATTGGCAAACAGGCTGAGAAATAGTGGGAGTGTAAATTGCTATAAACTCTTTGAAAATCAATATGGTAAGGTTGGTAAAGTTGAAAAAGCTCAACCTTTGACCCACCAATTCAACTTCTAAGTATGTACCCTAGCACAGAGAGACGAACACAACAATGGTCATTACTAAATTGCTTGAAATAGAGAAAAAAAAAAAAGAACACAATTTATCAACCAGAAAATGGGCACATAAGTTGTCAAGAACCCATACTATGAAATCTTATATGTGTGTATGTGTAAGTTGCTCAGTCATATCCGACTCTTTGCGACCCCATACACTATAGCCCACCAGGCTCCTCTGTCCATGGAATTCTCCAGGCAAGAATACTGGAGTGGGTTGCCATTCCCTTCTCCAGGGGATCTTCCTGACCCAGGGATCAAACCCAGGTCTCCTGCATTGCAGGCAGATTCTTTACTGTCTAAGCCACCAGGGAAGCCCAAAATCTTCTATACAGTAGTAAAAAAGAATATATGAAATTAATTTACTGTAGCTCTCAACTTGACTGTACATCCAAGATATCAGAATCTCTGAGTGAAGAGCCCACACACTGGTGTTACTTAAAGTTCCCCAAGTGATTCCCACATGTAGCCACAGTTGAGAACCACTGACCTGGAGCCATTGTATCAACATGAGCGAATATAAAAAATGTAATGTTGACTAAAGTAAAGAAGATGTGAAATGACGTATATATATGAAGTTTGAAAAATATGTGTTTATATATAGAGAGATATATAAGTGAAAATGCTGGTTGCTCAATTGTGTCCAACTGAGTTGTGACCCAATGGACTGTAGCCCTGCAGGCTCCTCTGTCCATGGATTTCTCGAATACTGGAGTGGGTTGCCATTTCCTATTCCAGGTGGTCTTTCCAACCCAGGTATCGAACTAGCATTTTCTGCTTGGCAGACAGAAAGAATACCATCTAAACCATCAGAGAAGCCCATAGATAAATAGTGATAGTATAAAAGCTTGCATGAGAATGATAAACATCAAATTTAGGGTAAAGGTTACCTTTGGAGAGAGAAAAAAGGGGGATGAGATCAGGGAGCAGTATTTAGATTACTTTAAGTCTATCTGTAATGTTTTACATCCTTTTAAAAAATGTATTTATTTATTTGGCTGTGCATATGGGATCTAGTTCCCTGGCCAGGGATCGATCCCAGGCTCCCTGTATTGGGAAGGCAGAGTCTTAGCCACTGGATCACCAGGGAAATTCCTACATCTTTTTGAAAAATCTAAAAAAATATGGATGCATACAAAGATTAGATATAGCTAGGTGGTATGTATGTTGGGTGGATGTTCATTACATTATTCTCAGTGCTTTATCTGTATGTCTGACATAGTTCACAATATCGAAAAGAAGGAATGGTGGTTGTGGGGGAAAAGAAATCAAACAGTACCAAAGTATATAAAATGAAGGGTTTCTTCCCTCTTCAGCATTTTTCCCCACTCTCTAAGAAATAGCCACAGTCAGTAGTTTCTTGTGTGCCTTCTAAACATTTTCCTTGCAGATGCAAGCATTTATATGTCTGTAAAGTCATTTTAAGTAAGGGGAAATGTGCTTATCTCTCTTGAGCAAGCCACATTTCCAGCACCCACACAATGCCTTGCTTGCTTATCCTAAAGTTGTGACCAAAGCATTTGGTTGCAGCCTCCTAGGGGGAGAACAGTGTATTCAGAGATGAGAATTTTTGTTTGTTTTAATCATTCTCTTATTAATTCTGGTAACACTTATTGAGTGCTGCAGTGGGTCAGCACTGTGTTAGGTATAGATACCACAAGGAAAAAGAGTTTGATGTTGGGAAAGATTGAGGGCTAGAGGAGAAGGGGGCGACAGAGGATGAGGTAGTTGGATGGCATCATCAACTCAATGGACATGAGTTTGAGCAGACTCCGGGAGATGGTGAAGGACAGGAAAGCCTGCCATGCTGCGGTCCACGGGGGTGCAAAGAGTTGGACACAACTGAGCAACTGAACAGCAAGCGTGTTCTTGGAGCTTGTGTTCTAGAGGAGGAAACAGAAGGAAGCAAGCACTTGGAGTAGAGAGAGATAAATACCACTAAGAAGACATGAATGTGCGTTGGGGAGCACACAGCAGGAAACCTGAGGGGAAGGGGAGCTTCAGGGGCTTCCTGGGGAAAAAAAAGTGATGACCAGCAGCAGAGTGAAGAGGGCTGAGCACCAAGAGCTGGTCTAGATGAAGATTAATGACGAGAGTAGTCCCAGCACAAAGCAGAAACAGCAGGCTTGAAGACCAGCTGTGTGTGTGTTAGTCGCTTAGTCATGTCCGACTCTTTGCAGCCCTATGGACTGTAGCCTGCCAGGCTCCTCTGTCAGTGGGATTCTCCAGGCAAGGATACTGGAGTGGGTTGCCATGACCTTCTCCAGGGGATCTTCCTGACCCAGGGATCGAACTCAGGTCTCCTGCACTGCAGGCAGATGAAGACCTGCAGGGCCAAGTGTCTGTCACAGAGCTGAAAGGCCAGCTTGGCTGCTACCAGGGGGTGAGCAGAAATGAGCTGAGGTCCTGGTCAGGATTTTGGCCTTTATTCTTTATTCAGCATCACCAAGGCAAGGGCTGCCATAATCAAAATTGTATTTTTAAAAGCCACTCTGACTAAGAGTGGAAACTAAACCTTTTGTTAAGTTGAGTAATTAAACAGAAAACTCATAGTTGCATTTGACTTTTGTCTTTACTGATTTCTTCCCTGTGGGCCAGTGGCCCTTGATCTTCTGCCTTGTCACACACATACCAGAATAAACCACTGTCTGTAGTGAATGCTGGTTTGTTTTTTTTTTCTGTTAATCACAATTGAGAATATAAATTTGAGTGTGTGTGTGAGAGAGAAATGGAGTTAACAGGGATATCTTGAACTTCTAAAGGTTATGAATTCCCTGAAAGGGGCCTTTGCCCAAATGGGAAATAGACTTAACACTCCATAAACGTATTGGGTCAACATAACCCAGGCCTCTTTTTCAGGCCTGAAAGTGGTCTAACTAATCCACCAGAGTTGCCAGGTTAGGAGCGCAGGGGAGTGTTTTGGAGGGGCAGACAGTAATTTGAGGACAGCAGCCGGGTTTTGGTTTACCTGCCCTGTCTGCAATAGTTGGTGACCTCTGCAAGATGATGCTGGGTTTTAGACTTCACTTTTCCAGTATTTCATCTTTTGCCATGTTCTACTCTGGGCAAATTCACTGTGTCTGAGCACATTCTCTAATCTAGTGGTTCTACAACAATGGTAGGCATCATAACCCTTTGGAGGGCCTGTTAAAAAGCAATTTGCTAGGCTGTAACCTCACAGTTTCTGAGTCAGTAGGTCTGAGGCTGCTGACTCAGCAACATTTTGCTGAGCAGGGGGTGGTGTCACATTTTGGGAGCCACTGACTTAGATCAGGACATGATAGACTGAGCCTCCTCAAATCACCCCTGAAATTTTCTGAGACCTAGAGTCCTAGCAAAAGTTTCCTCCCTTACACTCATGAGGGGGAAGCACCTGTCCCTGTCTCTACAGAGGCTCTGTTTCTCAGCTCATAAATATTCAAAGTAAAGACTCTCTAAACCCAGTCCCACTCCTCCATTCTTGTGAGCCCTGCAGGGAGTTTGGGTAAGAGGGAGGGGGTTGGAGAAGTCCACTCCTTGTCCCAGAAAATCCAGCTCAGCGGAGCAACATGGGGAAACATAGTAGAGCCTTGCTCTCTGCTGTTGCTGGGGTGCCTGAAGCAAAGACTTGAAGACAGCAGAGACTGAAATGGACTCTGCGTATATGCTTGCATATGTGCGCATGCACACCTGTGAACACGGAGAAAACTGGCTCCTGCCTGCTGAAAGAAACAAAGGAGGAGGATGAAAAACCATGCTAGAAGACTAATAATAACAGTACTATCTGACCTTAGTTGGGCAATATGTGCCAGGCTTTCCATGTATGACTTTATTTTAAAATCTTCGCATGACCCCAGGAAAGTAGATGCTCTTATTGTCCCTCTTTAGGGCTTCCCTGGTGGCTCAGAGGTTAAAGCGTCTGCCTGCAATGCAGGAGACCCGGGTTTGATCCCTGTGTCGGGAAGATCCCCTGGAGAAGGAAATGGCAACCCATTCCAGTATTCTTGCCTGGAGAATCCCGTGGACAGAGGAGCCTGGTAGGCTACAGTCCACGGGGTCGCAAAGAGTTGGACACGACTGAGCGACTTCATGTTCACTTTAAAAGATGTGGTAACCGAGACTCAAGGCAGTTAAGTAATTTCTCCAAAGTCACAGTTAATAACCGGATGAAACCAGTACAGCTTCCAGAGATTGTCTGATGGAATGAATAAGAATGCCAAGTTCTTATTTGAATAAACAAACAGCAGATCTGTCTCATGAGGAATATCTTTCGTAAATCCATTTCCCCTCCCTGCACTGGTGAAGTAGTATTAAAATCAAAGGAAACGCTGTGATCTGTGTTAGCTCTGTGCTCCTATTATTGAGTGTTTCTGCCACATGAGAGGTTTAGGTTGCCCCCTCCATTATGATCAGCACTCCAAGGGGTGACTGATATCAAGATGGCCTCCCTAGAACCTCTTCTCACTTTCAGTTTTCTGTATTTCAGCCTGAAGAAATAATTTATTCTGATACTAATAAGAGCATGGTAGAAGATCTAAAGAACAGGTATGATCTCTATTTATATGCTATGATTATCATGTTTTCTCCCTAATCTCCCATTCAGCCACCCTTCAGTCCTGTAACGCAGTCTCTCAAAAATACCTATTAGACTCAGCAACAGAAGCATGAAATGTAGATTTAATAGTTACTTCCATTGAGTCGTCTGGCTCTTGGCCCTTGCATAAAAAAATCAGCCCCTCTGCTACCCACAATACTCCTTGAAAAACATGCCAAATTAAATATAGTTGCATCTGGACAACATTGTGGGCTGCTATTGGGAAGTTCTCAACACAGACACCTATTTAGCCTTATAGTAATAATCAATAACTAACACTTCTTGACGGAGAAGGCAATGGCACCCCACTCCAGTCCTCTTGCCTGGAAAATCCCATGGACGGAGAAGCCTGGTAGGCTGCAGTCCATGGGGTTGCAAAGAGTCGGACAAGACTGAGCGACTTCGCTTTCACTTTTCACTCTCATGCACTGGAGAAGGAAATGGCAACCCACTCCAGTGTTCTTGCCTGGAGAATCCCAGAGACGGCGTAGCCTGGTGGGCTGCCGTCTATGGGGTCACACAGAGTCAGACATGACTGAAGTGACTTAGCAGCAGCAGCAGCAACACTTCTTGAAGAACAATAGGGGTGTGGTAAAAACATCCGAACTGGGTAGTAGAAATACCAGTACTCTCCTTGGTAGCCACCCTCATCCACATAGTCCACACACGCACACCCTGAAGAGTTGCTCAGTCAAGCCCAAAATGTCACAGCCTTTGCAGCAGACCTTGCTCCTACTCCAGACACGTCAGAAGCTTCTAGATCTGACTACTTCCAGTGACTCATGCTGACACAGCAGGCTGGCATGTAAGCTGCTACCAACTAATCAAAACAGAAAAGGACAAAAAGCATTTTGCCACTCCCTTTTCTCACTAGCACATGACCCCCACCTCTTACTCCCCTACTTCTTCCCCACCTCTTAACAACAACAAAAAAAAAGCATTGCACTAGGAAAATGGTCTCCAACTTTTAGTTTTCATCAGAATTGCTTCTGAAACTAAATATAGGTGCCAGAGTCCAGGATCAGACCTGTTGAGCCACTATCTGGAGGGTAGTGAAGTATTTTGATAGAACAGGTGATTTTCAGGATCAGACCTGTTGAGCCACTATCTGGAGGATAGTGAAGTATTTCAAGTCCTACAGGTGATTCTGGTGTGTAGCCATCACTGAGACTCTGCAAACTCAAAACCACTTACTTACTTTATTAGACTCAGCCAAAAGGAGAGGCCCAGCACACAATAATCCTCTGCAGAGGAAAGGCTTCCCACCAACCAGCTCACACTGGACTCCACTTTCTCCCTCCCCGGAACAGTTCCTCAGCAGGCACTGCTTCAGAGGCAGGGTAGGTAGGTGAAACTCCCTGCCTGCATAGAGCATACATTTGGGGGAATGATCAGATCGGGGGAAACTGATCATCATACTGATCAATCCAGTGTCTCATTTCCTCCCAATTCCACTTGCTGGATTAACTGATTTAATAACCCCATTCCTGCTAACATTACCCCAGACAAGATACCTGGATTTTTATAAAGGCATTTCTTGGAAATACAATGTCTTATGTCAGAAGAGGGTCTTGGAGGACAGGAATGTCAATCCAGTAATCAGATGGTAGCAAATCACACCTAGTAGGTAGCTGTCTGCACACAGGGAACTGAAAGAAAGAAGTGCCTTTGAGAACTAATTGCTAGCTACCCCAGGAAGCATCTTGCTTCCTCAAGCCAAGCAAGAGCCTGATCTTTCCCAAAGCAGATTAATGTGGTTGATGACAGATATCCCTCACCATGGTGGTCTGGTTTTCTCCTACATCAAAAATGTATTATTTTTCAAATTGTGAATGACTATATATTTTAAACATTTATTTAATTTATCTGGCTGTGTGGGGTCCTAGATGCAGCATGAGTTGGGTCATGCAGGATCTTTGGTTGCAGCGCATGGCCTCTCGAGTTGTAGCACACGGGCTCCAGTGCTCTTGGGCAGTTTACTCAGTGGGGGATCTTAGTTCCTTGACCAGGGATTGAACCTATATCCCTTGCATTACAAGGTAGATTCTTAATCACTGGACCACCAGGGAAGTCCCCGCAAAGTATCATTCTCATACTTGAGTAAATGTGACAAAACTTTTTTTCACATTTATTAACTGATTTGTAATTTATCATAAAATGATCTTTGCATTCTTACCTTAGGATTGAAAGAACTCTGAAGTGTAAAATAATGGAATGGCGGCCTAAACAGCCAACACGTTGGAATAGACAGTGTACTTTCATTTTACGACAGATTCTTCCTAAGTTAGAACTTGGTACTGCAAGCTTTGTTTCATCTGAAGAAGAGAGTGAATTTGAAAGACTACTACAATTTTATTGGGTTTGTATATGATTCAATACATTAACAACATTTGTTTTATCTTTGATGTTAACTGCCAGATGATAGTAATCTTAAAAATCCCTGAGATATCTTTTATCTTGATCTCATGTTATATGTGCTATGTCATTAAAATCCACTTATGTTTAGACTGAGACTTTTCAAAAGTAGTGAATAACTAGTACTGTGACCAGATTGCATGACATTTTCTTGGAATCAGTTTTATGATACACAAACCATAAACTTTGGAAAGAGATGCCCAAAAGGAAATGACTTGCAACTAAGAAACTAAGAAATGATCTCTAGATAGTAGTAATAGGATGGATTCCCTGTCCTTGGTTCTGGGCAAGAGGACTTCAGGCAAACTTTAATATCTTCCATATGCAAATTATTCTCAAATTTATACATCATAGCCTGGACTTTTGTTTTAACCTCCTCTCGTATATTCACCAGCACATTTGACATCATCCTGGATGGTAAAAAGGCCTATCAAACTCAAGTCCATAATCAAACATGGCAGGCATTTTGGTGTATTTTAAAGTCCTTCTTTTCTTCCCCTACCAGAATCCTGAGTTCTGAGAATCCTCTCTCCTCCTCTTGCCTATGAATTGTTGCAGTAGTTTCTGGAAGCCCCAGCCTCCCAAGAGTGATATTCCTTCCCCCTTCCATCCTGGAGATCAGAAAATGTCCCCTAGAGAAAGCCTTGGAAAGAGGAAGGGAAGCTATCTGTTGGAAGTTGCTACTTAGGCTGCCAGGGAGGCATCTGCAGGCACTATTCATGAATAGGGAGGTAGTTGTTTTGTTTTGCTTTCTTTTTAGTTGAATTAGGGGGTAAGTAGATAAGCAAAGTATTGTCAAGTATAAGCCAAGGTTTTGAACTTAGAATTCCTTTGTAAAATTATCTGCTGTTTAATAACACAGATTCATAAATCTAGACTGAATCCTGCGGCTTGGGTTCAAATCCTGCCTCGACCATTCACTAACTTTGACCAAATTACCCAACTTCTCTATACGTTCTTACCCCATTGCACAAGATAAACAAGGATAAAAATAGTTAGCTATTTTGTGGTTGTGGTGAGGATTAAGTGAGTTGCTTAACCATAGCACCCAACACTTACTAAATGTTAACTATTATTTGTATTCCAGTGTAATTTATTAAGTAAACTAGGGAAGGATAGTGTACTATGCACTCACAAGGGAAGAGCACATGAAGAGATTTAAAGATCAGAGAAGTAAACAATCTGAGACTTGAAAGCAGCTTATGATTGTCCTTTGCAAATTCTTTAATAGATAATTTTACATGAGACCCATGTCTCATATCCTTTAATCCTGTCATTGGAGGAAATGAAAGTGAAAGTCCCTCAGTCATGTCCAGCACTTTGCCACCCCATGGACTGTACAGTCCCTGGAATTCTCCAGGCCAGGATACTGGACTGGGTAGCTATTCTCTTGTCCAGGGGATCTTCCCAACCCAGGAATCAAACCCAGGTCTCCCGCATTGTGGGAGGATTCTTTACCAGCTGAGCCACCAGGGAAGCCCAATCCTGTTATGCTGCTGCTGCTAAGTCACTTCAGTCGTGTCCGACCCTGTGTGACCTCACAGACGGCAGCCCACCAGGCTCCCCCGTCCCTGGGATTCTTCAGGCAAGAACACTGGAGTGGGTTGCCATTTCCTTCTCCAATGCAGAACAGTGAAAAGTGAAAGTGAAGTCGCTCAGTCGTGTCCGACTCCTAGCGACCCCAGGGACTGCAGCCTACCAGGCTCCTCTGTCCATGGAATTCTCCAGGCAAGAATACTGGAGTGGGTTGCCATTCCCTTCTCCAGGGGATCTTCCTGACCCAGGGATCAAACCCAGGTCTCCTGCATTGCAGGCAGATTCTTTACTGTCTAAGCCACCAGGGAAGCCCAAAATCTTCTATACAGTAGTAAAAAAGAATATATGAAATTAATTTACTGTAGCTCTCAACTTGAATGTACATCCAAGATATCAGAATCTCTGAGTGAAGAGCCCACACACTGGTGTTACTTAAAGTTCCCCAAGTGATTCCCACATGTAGCCACAGTTGAGAACCACTGACCTGGAGCCATTGTATCAACATGAGCGAATATAAAAAATGTAATGTTGACTAAAGTAAAGAAGATGTGAAATGACGTATATATATGAAGTTTGAAAAATATGTGTTTATATATAGAGAGATATATAAGTGAAAATGCTGGTTGCTCAATTGTGTCCAACTGAGTTGTGACCCAATGGACTGTAGCCCTGCAGGCTCCTCTGTCCATGGATTTCTCGAATACTGGAGTGGGTTGCCATTTCCTATTCCAGGTGGTCTTTCCAACCCAGGTATCGAACTAGCATTTTCTGCTTGGCAGACAGAAAGAATACCATCTAAACCATCAGAGAAGCCCATAGATAAATAGTGATAGTATAAAAGCTTGCATGAGAATGATAAACATCAAATTTAGGGTAAAGGTTACCTTTGGAGAGAGAAAAAAGGGGGATGAGATCAGGGAGCAGTATTTAGATTACTTTAAGTCTATCTGTAATGTTTTACATCCTTTTAAAAAATGTATTTATTTATTTGGCTGTGCATATGGGATCTAGTTCCCTGGCCAGGGATCGATCCCAGGCTCCCTGTATTGGGAAGGCAGAGTCTTAGCCACTGGATCACCAGGGAAATTCCTACATCTTTTTGAAAAATCTAAAAAAATATGGATGCATACAAAGATTAGATATAGCTAGGTGGTATGTATGTTGGGTGGATGTTCATTACATTATTCTCAGTGCTTTATCTGTATGTCTGACATAGTTCACAATATCGAAAAGAAGGAATGGTGGTTGTGGGGGAAAAGAAATCAAACAGTACCAAAGTATATAAAATGAAGGGTTTCTTCCCTCTTCAGCATTTTTCCCCACTCTCTAAGAAATAGCCACAGTCAGTAGTTTCTTGTGTGCCTTCTAAACATTTTCCTTGCAGATGCAAGCATTTATATGTCTGTAAAGTCATTTTAAGTAAGGGGAAATGTGCTTATCTCTCTTGAGCAAGCCACATTTCCAGCACCCACACAATGCCTTGCTTGCTTATCCTAAAGTTGTGACCAAAGCATTTGGTTGCAGCCTCCTAGGGGGAGAACAGTGTATTCAGAGATGAGAATTTTTGTTTGTTTTAATCATTCTCTTATTAATTCTGGTAACACTTATTGAGTGCTGCAGTGGGTCAGCACTGTGTTAGGTATAGTGTCCATGGGATTTTCCAGGCAAGAGGACTGGAGTGGGTTGCCATTGCCTTCTCCACCAATCCTGTCATAGATATCAATAAATATAAACTAAATCAATGTGAAATAAATTCTTCCAAAATGCTCTTTTAAATCATTTATATGACCAAGAAGTTTCCTTTTTGGCAGGTTGCCATTGCAGAAAAAGTGCAAGTATGTGGAATGTTAAATGTGTAGGCTCTGGCGTTAGACAGACCTGGCTCTGCTCCTCTCTTTATAAAGTGGGGTTATAGCAAAACCTGCCTCAAAGGGTTGTTTGAGGATTAATTAAAATGTGAAGTATTTAGCACTGTGCCTAGAACATAGTACATGCTCAGTCACTTCAGTTGTGTCCGACTCTGTGTGACCCTATGAACTGGAGCCTGCCAGGCTCCTCTGCATGGGATCCTCCAAGACAAGAACATTGGAGTGGGTTGCCATGCCCTCCTCCGAGGGATTTTCCCGGCCCAGGTATCGAACCCATGGTGTCTCCTGCATCTTCTGCATCACAGACAAATTCTTTACCACTGAGCCAACCAGGAGGTCCCCTAGAACTTGGTAAACACCCACAAAATGATAATTATTATTATTACTATTTTATGACTTCCATTTCTTTGAGGCTTCTGTAATCTTTTCATGCAGTAATTCCCAACTACCTACATGATTGTAATGTGGGTTTATGTATTATTGTCTTTGGTCCAGGTCACAGGATTTCCTATCCAGATGCCATACACTGATGTCCAGTCAGTTATTGACGCTGTGTATCAAACTGGAATTCATTCTTCTGAATTTCCACAGACAGAATTTGCTCTAGCTGTGTACATTCACCCCTACCCAAACAACATATTATCTGTGTGGGTCTATTTGGCTTCATTAGCTCGACATCAGTGAAAAGGAAAAAGATAGAAGGAGAAGATGGTACATGGGCCCCCAACCAAAAGACAGACTTTTCTGGTACTTGGGATTTTTCTGTTTATCCTCAAGTCCAGACAAGCGTGAGCCCAATTTTTGGCTCACTTATAGAGTAAGGCACAAGACTCACTGCCTGAGTTTCTGGGGACAAATATAAATGACCTCCTCATCAGAGGCCTCATCAAGGAGGACCCTTCGGAAAGTCTGGTGCCTGGGATCACTGTCTGCAGTAGGTTTTATTCTAGGAAAGAAGCAATTCTGGCCTCTCTCCACAGCCAGTGTTGCTCTAATTGGGGGCCCCCATCACCTCCATCACCTCAAAATCACTTGGAAAGCCCTATTGAAAATACAGGTTCCCACATCCCATCCAGGACCTACTGAATCAGGATCTCTGAGAGTACAGCTCCAGAACCTACATTATTTAAAAAAAAGCTTCCCAGGCAATTCTCTTAACCAGTTAAGAATGAGAACCCTGCCTTACAGAATGCTGTCATTACTAAAGTGAGGCTGATAACTTTGATGATGGTTCTGATGGAATTCCAGGCAGGAGTTATTCAAATAGAAACCCATGAGATAAAAGATTATTTCACTGAAGAATAAGAAGGAAATATGGCATTTTGGGTTAAGGACAGCTTCTGTGGGCTTCTTAAAAGTTTTCTCTTTAGATACTACTGACCTAAAGTCATTTCACCTCCAAGTATTTAGAAGGGACTCTCGGGAAACACTACCCAAATTTTTTCCTAATTCTGTGAGAAAGGGAGATATATGCCTTACCTGAATCTCAGAGGCCTCTTTATCTTAATGAGCAGCTCCCCATTCTGCCTCTGGCACTTTCTGCTGCTTTTCTTTCACAGTGGTGCCCCAAGGAGACCCATCCAGGGCCTCAAGAAAGAGTGGGTAGGGATCTAAGTAGAAAATACTGTACTTTATTATATTTGATTGTTCTGTACTTCATTGAGCAAAGTGTTCAAATAGTTTATTTAAATGTTACACAACAACTTATTTTTTAATCAAAGGATAGATTTCCAAAGGTTTATGAGAGCAATTTTATATGAGGTTAAAGTAAGAAAAAGAAGATTCACTTCTCCTACTGTAGTAGCACTGGGGTTCCTTGAATCACTCCCAGAGAAGCAGAGAGCAAAAACCCCAAATTCATCCTCAGGGAACCCTCAACCTACATCCCCTCTCCCAATATACCTGCAGAGGCCAGAGAAGACCTTATTTATTTGCAGGATGTTAGTCTCAGACCAAACTCAAGATTACTAGAAAGAAAGGGTATGTAGGTAAAGAGAATGTTTTTTCTGCAAGGTTAAAACTTTGTTATATATGTCTTCTGTCATGCATCAGAAAAATGATCAGAATTGTTTTTATTTGAATGTTTTTGTTTAAACATTCATTATTAACATTCATTAAACATATAAACATTCATTATTTGAATGTTGTGTTTAAATGCTATAGGAGGCTTTGTTATTACCAAGTTTCCCACATCAATTGGGGTAGCACAAAATGATATCTGTGGAAAGACAAGTTTGCCAAATAAAGGCTGAACTCATACAATTCATTTCTGTGCCATACTGAATGTTTACATAGCTATTTTGTTCATTTTGTTTGTAGCTTTAGAATTGATGGGTCACTTAAGAGTAAGGTGGAAAATGTTCATAGGCAAGTGTGCATTATATTCTGTATCATATTCATTTTTAAATGTGTATGTATTTCTCATCTAAAAATTTTTTCTAAAAATTGTATGATTGTAATGAACTTTTTTTTTATTTGACTGTTTTAAAAGTACATATTAGATGTAGTGTATAATTTTAAAATTTTTCATTGTTCAGTCACTGTTGTGTCTGGCTCTTTGCAACCTCATCCACAAATAATTACAAAGCATCCATTATGTACCAGACACGACCATGTTTTTTCATTTGACTGTTTTAAAAGTACATGATATTAGATGTAGTGTATAATTTTAAAATTTTTCGTTGTTCAGTCAGTTGTGTCTGACTCTTTGCAACCTCATCCACAAATAATTACAAAGCATCCATTATGTACCAGACACTTCAGTATGTGCTAGAGGACAGTGTGAAGACATTCTTACAAGGAAAAGAGAGCATAAGCAATAAACGGTAAGTAGGTGAGATAATTCCAGGGTATAATGAGCGCTATAAAGGAAACAAAAATTGTTGGCGTAATGGAGAAGGACTCTGATGGGGATGGAAGGTATAAGCAAAGTAGTGGGAGAAAGCCTCTCCACAGAGATAAAGTTTTGAGCTGAGATTTTAAAAGATGATTTATCAATTAGAATTGCATTCAGTTGCAAGGAACAGAAACCTAATCACAGTAACATAATCCAGTAGGGATTACAGAACTGTCAAGTGCAGAGGAGGCAGTCCAATTCTAGTGCAATAGCTCTGTGATGTCAGAAATACATTAGCCTTCATCCATCTTTGTCACCACCTCTAAGGAACCTTCTGTCTTCTTCCTCAGTGGCTCTCAAACTTCAGCATGCGTAAGAATCACCTGAAGAGTTTGTTGAAACACACTTCACTGGGCCTGACCTTTAGAGTTACTGATTCCATGAGATCTGGGGTGGGGCCTGAGAATTTGCATTTGTAACAAGTTCCCAGGTGATACGGAGACTGCTGACCTGGGGACCACAGAGGCTCTAACCTTACAGTCATTTTCATTAAGAAAACGCTGACAGGGAGGGAGGAGGTAGAAAAGGCAGGTGGTTTAGCTCTTTTAAAAAGTTTTCTAGGAGACTATGCCCATTAACTTCTACTTACATCCCACTGGCCAGAATTGCATCACTCCTAGACACAAGAGACTGGAGATCAAGTATTTTAAATAGACAGTTGCTATCCCAATAAAATCAGTGTTCTCTTGGTGAGGAAGAGGGGAGGATGGCTATTGTATTAGGCATCTGTGGCTTCCATATTTAAGAGGAAGCCAATCATGCAAAGACTTTTAGCAAAAGCATTTCAGGCAGAGGAAACCTATGATTACAAAGCCCTCCAGTCCAGAAAGAGACTCACATGGAGAAGAAGGAGTAGTAGCCCATAAGATTGGAGAGGCAGACAAGAACCAGATCACACAGGTCATGGTAAAGAGTTCATATTTTATTCAAAGTGCAATAACAAATCAATCAAGTAACATAATAAAGTAGTAGTTTTTCTTTTTTATATTTGAGAATATAAGCCCCATTCAGATGCAGTGCCAGGTCCCAGCTCTGTTTTCCACACCTCTGTTTTCCACAACTGCCCACTCGTCTTAGTACAGCAGCCTTTGCCCTGGTGAGGAGTTGCAGTAGGGCTAGAGGTGCCAGAGTGGGCACTTGGCATGCTAGGGTGGTCATGAGAAACTGACCAGGGTCCTGGATAGTTTCAATCTGCCTCCACCATTTCCAGTAGTAAACAGCATGTGTGCACTTTTCTCAAGCAGAGTCTAGGTTTCTTAAAGCCTTCCTGTTAGTCCACTGGTTTTCAAACCATCTAAGGGGACTCTTCCTGGTGTCAGACCAAGGACTGGGGTGTCCAATATGTGGTTCAATCTGTTTCCTCCACAGGGAAGTGCTCTCTCTGAGAGGTCCCCTCCTAGAGGGACAGATCCTGATTCTCTTCACTTCTCTCCACTTCTTACCTAACTTAGTATGGACCCTTCTTTACAACCTTGGTTGTATAAGAGACTTTATGATACTCTTCAGGTGTTTTCAGTGAGATTGCTCCATGTGTCAATGTATTTTCAATGTGTACATAAGGGGACGTGAGCTCTTTGTCCTTCTATTCCACCATCTTAACCTCAGGCCACCTTGATATGCTTTCAATTTAAAACCTTTACACCTGGATAATGATCAGAGTACATCATGAGAAACACTGGGCTGGAAGAAGCACAAACTGGAATGAAGATTGCCAGGAGAAATATCAATAACCTCAGATATGCAGATGACACCACCTTTATGGCAGAAAGTGAAGAAGAACTAAAGAGCCTCTTGGTGAAAGTGAAAGATGAGAGTGAAAAAGTTGACTTAAAGCTCGACATTCAGAAAACTAAGATCATGGCATCCAGTCCCATCACTTCATGGCAAATAGATGGGGAAACAGTGGAAACAATGGCTGACTTTATTTTGGGGGGCTCCAAAATCACTGCAGATGGTGACTGCAGCCATGAAATTAAAAGATGCTTACTCCTTGGAAGGAAAATTATGACCAACCTAGACAGCATATTAAAAAGCAGAGTCATTACTTTGTCAACAAAGGTCCATCTAGTCAAAGCTATGGTTTTTCCAGTAGTCATGTATGGATGTGAGAGTTGGACTATAAAGAAAGCTGAGTACCAAAGAATTGGTGCTTTTGAACTGTGGTGCTGGGGAAGACTCTTGAGAGTTCCTTGGACTGCAAGGAGATCCAACCAGTCCATCCTAAAGGAGATCAGTCCTGGGTGTTCATTGGAAGGACTGATGCTGAAGCTGAAACTCCAATACTTTGGCCACCTCATG